GTTACATCTCTGCGCTAGATCCTGCTTTGCGAGAAACTTTTGACTAGAACTTATACAAAAACAGTTACAAACTTATACTGCTGTTGGTCAGTCAACTGAATTAACACGCCGCTTGCAGAAGTGATTTGACTTGAGAGAGACTTTCAAGGTAGAAACTTGGTGAACGGAAAAAAAAACGAGACAAGTATCATGAGGTCGATGTTTCCATTTGATAGCTGAGTATCTAATCCATCCTTATAGAAATAGTTCGTTTAAGCCGACTACATGCCATATCAACATTAGTCACATGGCGGAATCAGAGCCAACTTATTAGTATGGCCACAATTTTATTCCACTTGTTGATCGATTCAATTTTAAGTGGACATTGCATACGTTTTTACCGTTTTTTAGTTTGATTTTCTTGACAACGAGACAACAGTGGTAACTACTTACAAATTCAATACCTTCACTTCCAGTTGATATGTGCAGATTTACCAATATTTTATACATACATTAAGTTTGAACTATTGTAAACACAGAATTATTTATCATTGTTTACCAAATAGTAAAGTCATATGGTAAGGGTGTTACATCGTTATTTTAGAAAGATAAGTCGTACGTCATTTTGTTTTATAAAATCTGGAGCTAAAGCTAAACAAGCTTAATCTATTTTAATTAAAACTAATTGCTTTAAACAGGTTTTCTGAAAAATGTTGAGCAGAGTACGATGGATATCAAATATTTCTTACATAAAATATCTAAGCAAATGAAAACCATCTGCTTTTTATTCGCAACAATTGAAGCCGAAAGACTGCCATGGTTGGATCGAGCATGCTGAAAAATCTTCTTCATCTAAGTTTTCTATGGAAGGCAGACAAAAAGTTTCTGACGAAATTTTAGCTTCAGATGTTTGAGGTAAACATTTCAGCGAAAAATGTGAGTGAAGACAGTTGGAACGATAAATTGTATCAATAAAATCGCTTAAACTTCATATTCACCACAGTATATTTATATTACTGTCTGGCTATGTGAGGATACTAATATATAATATAGTGATGCAGAGGACTAATATACTTTCTCGAAAAGGCAGAAAGTCAGAAAAGCAGGAAATAGCTCTTTCAAGCATATCGAGAAGAGCGACACTTTCCTGCGAAGGCAGTAAGTCAGCAAATATCGTTTTCGAGTGCGTAGAGAAGACATGCACTTTCCCGAAGAGGCCGATGGTAAGAAAATTAGATACTTTCGCTTTCAAGCACATATACGCTGCGAATTGGCAGAGCCTAGTAGTGTTTTGCCAGGTTCTGGTTTAGTTCTGGTAGAATGGGAATTCGAGCTCCACCAGAATCTAATCAGAAGTGTCCGAGAATCTTGGAGAATTTTACTGGATTGATCAGAATCTGCCAATTTGTAGATTGATTGCGATAGAGAGAGAGGGGGGCGGAGAAACATGATTGAGTAAAGTTACTTTGAATTGCGGTGAATGGAAGATTTTTAACTAACTCCTAAAGATTCACGGCACAGTCAACAGCAGAAGTACCGGTCACTAAACTCTGAAAAAAAAACGAAAAAACCTGAAAACGCTTATCCGTATCATATAGTTCCATTTTGAGAAAAGTGTCGATCTTCTCTATATGCTTGCAAGCGCTATTTTCTGCTTTTCTGACTTTCTGCCTTCTAGGCCGATCTTACCTACACTATAATCTCGGAAATTATTTATAGAAAATCGCCGTTGATTCTCAGAAAGTCCATACACTGTAATCTGGAATTAACTTCTGATTTATAGAAAATCCATCTCGATAATCGCCGGCGATGTTCTGACTTTTATAAATTCCCTGTCGATTTTCTGACTTTCTATACATTTCTTTTTATCGATTTTCTATAAAATGAATTTTCATTTTATTCAGAAAATCGCCTTAGAATTTCCCAAAATATCAAAATCCGGCATCGATTTTCTAATATTCTTGAAATTCCACATCGAATTTCTAAAATGTTGGAAAATTGGCTTCGAGTTTCAAGAATTCTGGAAATACGAGATCGAATTTTCAAGTTTCTTATAAAATCCATTTTCTAGAATCTAGAAAATGACTTTAAAAAGATCGACGAAAAACTATGGTTTCCTAGAACCTTTTAGGCTACTTGTACTTCTTAAAAAGAGTTTTAAAAATCACTGATAAGCCATGGAACATGTTTAATAACATATTTAGATTCAAGGTCGAAGGGCGAACATTTGGAAAAAAAATCAAGTCTCCAACCAAGACTTAAAATGTTTGAATTTAATTTAAATTTTACAATACTTTATGTTTTTTAAAATAAAAAAAGCGAAACTTGATGTGGTACGGAGTGATCACGAGGCAGGAAGTCTGCGAGACGATCCTCGTGAGGGAGCTACAGATAACGAGAAAATCAACGGACATTTTAGACATGAAGGACGTTGGCCCACCGGTTTGCTGTGAAACTACCGAGTATTTGGGAGCTTAGAGTACTCGGTTACATTTTCTTAAGCCTATCTTCTATACGATTTTGTAGCCCATGAAATTATCTGTCGAATGGTGTATAGTAGTGGATATTTGGTCTGAGTAAAAGGGGTTGAATAATGTAAATGCTTTGAGTAAAGGTCGTTTAATGGGAGAAGAGTTGCTGTTGCTAAAATGTGTCCAGGGGCGCTGAAAAGGATTTTTAAGGTTTAAAAATACGATAGCATTGATCATGAACAAAAGCTGCATCGGGTGAGTTAACGTAGGACTGGTTTGAGCGGCAGCCGATTTTGCCTCTTATCGTCCTCCGTCCTTTTTCCAAACTTGATTTCAATCAAGGCGCCGGTAAGCGACGACCAAGTACTGCAGAAGCTGCTCAATCGATTGTAGAGCTGGGATTTGTCGCAAAAGATGAAACAGTAGTTTGTTGCGCGCGAAATGGCGATTCAGCATCTTCATTCTTACGCCATTCATGTCTTGACCGAATAAACTAGATCGATCTGCAAAATTCGGTAGCGTCAACGGAGTAACTTGGTCTTACGGGTTTCAAACAATGGATACATTATATGCCGTCAGCCTCTAGATCACATGTATAGGTCCATTGTTACATGCAGAATCTGAAAATCAGATTGGTGAGCTCGAAAAGTGAAGTCGCTAGGAGAAAAACGCAGTTTCTCAAACCTAAGGTTTTGGTGTTTTTGAGAAGGTAGCAGTATTTTGCATTTTTCAAAATGGAAAAACAAGGTCAGATTCGTGATCACCAGATAAAACTGCATCTAGTGATGTGCTTTTAAGTCAAAAATAAAATTTTCTCCAACTTCGAATTACATAGGTCAAAGTACAATCAATAGTAAGTATTTTGCAGCCAATCGCAGCTCTACAACTCAAGTAGTTACTGAGATATTCAAGTTTTCAGAAAAATTGCCATTTCTTCTGGTGGTGAATTCGGACCAATTAACGTTCATCTTGAGTGTGTTATTTTCTAACGGCTTGACTTATTGACACAATCATTTCAGCAGAAATACAACTTGAATCTGGCTAGAAAATAGTACAAGTCCGGACTCTGCAGGTCCTTTTATTATCAAGTTATAGATGCCGCTACCACTACTACTCCACCATTCATTATCTCGGGCGTAACCAGCTCCGGAAGGTTCAGACTTTCAGGGTAGATAAAATTTGCATCGACCTTTGACCTTTGATAGTTCAGAACTATCTCATATTATAGAGCTCAGCAAGCTGAACCGAATGGTGCAAACCGCAAGGCTCTAGCCTTGTTAAAAAAAACGTTATAGAGACTTTACCCTCGCAGCGAAAAAATGCATCTTCGTCGTTTTCCGGCGGCTTTGGCCGAACTTGCAGAACGTCTGCGGACTACACTACCTAACGTAGAACCTTGAACTTGGTGTCAAATGCAAGAGCACGTCGAGTTCTATGTATTTTGATGAAGAAAAGTTATGTTACACCTCGGGATCTTGAGCTAGAGATTTCTGGAAAATCTGGTAATCTGAAAATTTCTTTCAGAAGTTTTTCAACCATATCATACCATGGATATCCCCTTCAATTCTCCATAAAATGAGATGATGGTCAAGTTTTTACGATGCTGAATCAAAAAATACCATCTCTTTCCACCCTGTTTTCTCTGTGTTTTTTTAAGTTGTGAGTTTTTACTTGCCGTGGGCGCTAATAATGATTCGATTGTCCCCCCACGTTAAGTAAACTACGTTTACATCAAATGCCATAGAAAATGCGATACAGCTCGAACAAGGCATTAAAGTGAATGAATTTATATTCGTAGTGTAAAAAACCTATAACTCGGTCGTCCAAGATCGCAGAAACTTGGTCAGCATCTGATTTTGTGGAGAATCTGGTATAGGATGCCACAACTGATAGAGTAAAGCCATCTGAATTTTTGGTCTATGGAAACTAAACAGATCTCGGGGATGTAACAATCCAAAAGGAAAATTCCTTTCCAATGGAATTATCCTTGAGTTTGGCTGAAGGGCGAACAATAAATACGTACTTACACTAAAAAGGGGTTCAGGTCGAGATCCCAACCTCGTTAGTATGAGCATTTCGGGTGAAAACATCTTCAGTCATCTTTTCTTAGTAAATCCATTCAGAAAAGGTATGTTTAGATGAGATTCTTATTAGCTAAAAGATGTATATTTTTGATTTGATCTATAAGAAAACAAAAAAATACTATATCCAAATCGCTAATATTTTTATAGGTTTGTAACTGACACTTGCCATTCCGGAAAACCTGACAACCAATGGGGCATTTGGTTCATAATTCTATGCCACCATCGTCGGGGAGTTTTAATCATGTGAGCAAAATCATGTGTGAATGTACCATAACAGCTTGATACGATTTGATCAACAACAATTGTACCTTCGTTTGTTAATGGTGCATATGCATCATAGGCAATTACGTGCTCTACACCTGTAACGTTAACTCTACTACTGATAAATTATTTACCATATAAATGGAATCGCCAGTTTCGACTTCATTGGCAAATAGATATTTCTCATTGGTAGCACTGTGTTTTTTCACCAATAATGATGGGTTGGAGTAATACGTAATTGTTGTGTTGTTGATTTTGATGTGGTATGTAATTCCAAGTATTCTGTTGGATATTTTTCGTTATAATGTTGATATACATCAATAGCCAAAACAGGACTATACTTAACCAATAATTCATTTTTAGGTGAATAATAAGCAACTAAAATATTATCACCAACATTTAAATTGTGCATGTGAGTAATTGTGCCATCGTTTTTTAAAAGCGTTGCTTGCCCGTCAAAACATATTTGTCCTGAAATGACAAAGAGCTGAGAGTTCAAGCCAGACAACCAAGGATGATGTAGCTTTTAATAATTTTTCGAAGATATTTTTTAGAGGTTTTCCAAAAAACCATGGTTTGTCAGGTGTTTTCCATTTATATCGGCTCAGAAACGTTTTTATTTACTAACAATGACATATTCAGAATTAGCGTAAGCTTAAAGCGGTGCCTTATGCACCACTTTGTTCGCAAACTCTGACATTCATTTGAAATGAAAGCCCATTCAATTCTGATAGGTTGGAGAAAAGTGGGAGATCTATAACTCGGAAAGAAAAAAAACACACAAAATTTCCGTCTGATCGGTAACATCAAGTATCTCGGTCTGTGGCCTGGTATATGATAATGGTTCTTAGTTTATACATTTTTTTCACAAATACGTAGCCCTGTTCGTTCTATTTCCAACAGTAGATAAAAGAAAAGCATTGTTCAAGGTTGCATAAATATCTTCGAAATTCAAAGTGCACGAAACAGTGTAAAAAACAGTAGATGATCTTGATAATACAGTGACGGGACTAGTTGAATATGTCAGTGAATTCTAACAGTATAATAAACAAAAATATTTGATACTAGAGAATGCAAATGATAACACAGATAAAATAGTTATTAATATCGCCACAACACTTGCTCACGCATTAGATGAAAAACTCATGTATTCTTCATATAGTGAACTATCTAAAACTAAACACGTTCCTTGAACGATTGTCGTTGGTTTTCTGCGTTACTTTGATCGTCCAGCAATAACAAAAAATCGACAAAACTTACGATCACAAAAAAGTTAAAAAAATGTATCTGTCCTCATTTAATAACCAACTATTTCATACTATACGTCAAACTCTGCACAAATGTATCATTTTCACAAGAAACAATGATGTTTTCTACATTGCTGATCATGGTGAGAAACACCTTATTCAATCTCATTCGCATATTGATGGATTGGCTCGTGTTTGATATTAAGGTTAGAATGCCACTTTGCTACCTTGAATGTCTTTGGCGAAAATGAACGCTTTTTCTATGTTTGTTTCTCACAGCTGGTTTTCTTTTGACAGCTGACCTTTGTTTTCTTACGAGGGAACGTGTCCGACTTGTGACTCGCTTTTGCATAAATGACATGGGACACAGATAATTGATGATGCTGATCCCAAATATGACCATGAGAGTGACCCGTAGGTCTTTAAAATCTGGCTTTCTAGCCCGATTCACAGTTGAGTCCTTTTCATAGTCCAATTTCTTTTCCCAAAATCGATCTCTGATCTGTCTCGACGAGTAATAAAATAACAAGAATGTGTTTTAGAACGCATAGAGTACTCGTGCTAAGCTATTGATGCATAGTAGGCAAAATGAACTGCAATCTTCTGGATGCTCTTTGAATAGTAGATATGTTTATTTACTGGATATCTGCAATGTTTGGCAGTTTCTAACTTTGATACTTCACAATCATTTATTTCTCCTCGAAGTCCTGCTTCGGGAATAATAACTAAAAGGTTTTATTTTTTCTCTTCGATTCCTGTAATAAGCTTGGATTCCAGTCAATCTCTCCAGCAGAGCTAGTGTTTCGCTTGCGAAGCTAGTGTAAAACCAAGAATAATTAAACTTCTCTTTATCACTGTAATGTGATCTCAGTATCAAGTCGACTTTATGCCAGTATCGCGTTCGTGAAGAATTGAAACATACTTTTAGGTAATACTTTAACAACTTTAGACTTTCCTTCTTCAACTATTCGACCATTCATCTTTAGACTTCAACTCGTAAATTATGAATAAATTTGTGTACTCACTCTCAACACCCACCACCCTCCTCTCCCACTGTTCACCGGAGTTTTCTTCTTAGAAGTCAAAAGCTTTGAATTTTAGACTTCCCTGCTTCAACTATTCAATCTTCATCAATGAATGCCTGTTAGCAGCGATCACTGTGATGCTTAAGGTCACAGGGATCATAAGGATAGTACGCGATGACGAAGAGAGACAGGCTTCAAACATTGCCTTTTAAAACTGCTGCGCGTTCGAGGATAGAGGTTTAATTCAAACTTACTGCGTGTTCTTTTTCATTATTGTATGGTAAAAATAGTCTCTCTTTTCGAATATCTTATTAAAATTCTTAGAGAAGGACATTAATTTATAAAAAGTCCAAAGGACTTGGAAATCATAGAAAATTACCTATTATATCAGCTATTTCATCTTTTACTTCAGAAGAAACGCTGGTACCAATGAGAGATTTTAACTTTTAGGGATTTCCTCTCTAAAGTTAGATTTGTTTCAAGATTAGAGACTGAACTTTCACGAACTTTTTAATAAAATATCGTTAATAAAACTTTTTTATGCAGTTCGTATTTCTGGCTTGATAGCGCGAAAAATTTGCTTTCAATGAGACGTCTCTACACCCAGTACGAAGCATTTTTATTGACCTGTTGTATTTCTTTTTTCTACATTTAAATTGGCAGCAGATTTTATTGCCTTTCTTTCGTTTCTATTAAAATACTCTGTTTTTCCAATATAAATGATGTGCAAGATTCAAATCTTAATTATTCTTTTAGTTTCATTAACCTTAACATACGTGAAATGCGATTTGTTGAATGTAAGAGTATCAGACTTAATTAATAATAATCCTACAATAGCAGCAGTATCAGATTTACATCATGCATTAAAAGTATTTGCCGATAAAACATTATCGCCAGCCGAAACAGCAACTGACCTTTCTACTTTGTCATTTGTAAATCACAGATATTTAATCTAACTTCTATTAGTTCTATCGCTGGCAAAATTAGTCCTATAATTAGCGTTCTATCGTTTGGTTTTAGCATACTTCAACAGTTTGTCTTGAATACTTATATAAGTAATAAGGAGCTCAAGGAATATTTACAACAAGAATTTCAGAATTTAAATAATCAGTTAAAATACATAAAACTTAAAATTGGTAATTTATCCGATAAAATCGATCAACAAGCTATTCGAACAGATTATCTTAATGAAATACAAAAATTAGAGAATGTCTGGATGAAATATAATAATTTTATAAACAATCCTCATAATGATACATTGAATGAAGTTAAAAAGATTTGTCTTGGCGATTATACATCATCTGATTTAGTGATAAACTGGTTTTATCTACGAATTATTCAAAACCGTACATCACCCAGTGGCCAAACGTTTACCAACACATTAATACGAACAACGACACACGATTTACAAAAATTGAATAAATGGGCCGTCCAGTTAATGATCGATGTCACACAAGCGATTTATAAGAGCATTTTGTATTAATTTAGAGGATAATTGGTCCAATGATTATAAACAATTTGAAATCGAATGAATATAGAAAAATTGAATGAAATAGGCGAAGCCCTCGTTGTTACGTTAGATAAAGCTGAAAAGGACTTTTTATTAGTTCAACTAGAAAAAAGATATTGTAGAAATAACTATAACTAGTGAATCGAATGACAAACTGGCAGATATGATACTTCAGAAAGTAGCAGTGAAGTATTTGTGGTTAAATTAGTGGATCGTTATCTATTCTGCAGTTAGTAGAGCTGAAAAACATTTTTTGTCTTATGAACCTGCGGCATGACAATAAGAGCAATTTCCTTACCCTACATCAAAGGGTATGTGGTATAAATATAAATTAAATAATTATAATATTGTTCTATTTTGGAAAACAAAATTACTTGATAATGCTTTTATACAAAATCAGGAACAACGATTAGTGACCCTATTCGGATTTATGAGTGATTTATTGTTTCTTCAAGATTTCGATACAACAAGAAGCGATGCAGAAATGGCAACTCAATTAGTAGAAAAAGGCATAAACTATTTCCAATTAATGCTTGTTGTAGATGGTTCCGCGCTTTTAAAAGGTTCAATAACAAAAATCCCATTGGAGGGTTTTTTGATACAATATTTTTTCCGTATTCTATGTATGTGGGGGATGTTATGCTCATTATAGTTCCCGGTTGTGAACAGTACACGTTTTATACGAGGCAATTCGCAGCAGTCTATAAGGACTAACCGCATATTTTTTCATTTGTTTGTATATTATGTGAAAAAACATTAAAAACCTTGCAATTAAGCTAATAATACGCCTAAGGGAGGAGGCTGCCCAAGTTGGTTGGAACGCTAGGTGCGGCCATTTACAGAACATCAAGTTATGTACTTTATGAAAGTTTCAAAAAGGACAGGCAAGGTGTAATGGAACTATGCTTATGCTAATTCTGTACAGGGTGCCACTAAATAAACGGAACACCTACATCTATCTTGTTTTAAACGCTTTTTCTCAACAAATTTTGTTGAAGGCATGTGTAGAAGCAGATGGAGGCCATTTTGAATAAATCTTTTT